CTATCTTCCAGGTGTAATTTGGCAGAATGACAAAACCAACAAATTTTCAATATGGGGTTGGGAATTACTTTGACTGGTGCATAAATTCATAATAGCATAACAATTGACTTTTGTAAAAGGTGGTACGATCTGCTTATATCTCTGAAATGATCCTACCAGCCTACATTCATATATTCACCTGGCTGTATCACTACATTTTAGGGTATACTTATATACTATACTATATTGCTTACAATTTCTTATTATATATTTTTGCAGTTCTGACTGAGTACAATCTTAATCATTACAATGGGTGATGTCATCTGAAGCTGGCATATTGAACAAAAATGTCAACAAATAGATTGTGTTTCCCAATCAGCAAATTGTTTGGTTGTTCTACGATAAGGGTAGCCTTGAAGGTGCCATTAAAACGATAATTGGGACAAAAACTGACTTTAATTAAAAATTGATATTATACAGTATGCACTGGCAAGCTGGTCATGGCAACTGGTCATGTTATGCTAATAAACCTGCATCATTTGAATAATACAAATCATTAAAAACTTTCATGGCATGACCTGTTGCTATGGCTTGCAATATTTAGCTGAGCTTCGACTTTGTGCAAGGTGTTTGATATTCAAATTGCACTTTTCCTACCTCCTGAATAGGCATCTTAGGGGCTGTTTGCATGTTGGAAGGCGGTTGAAATAAGTCACTATAAGCTAAATGAAAGTTTAAATGCTTGTTAAAAATCTTGCAGTTCAAGAAGATTATTATTGCTGCTTGAACAACCTTTTGTTTACAGTTTATAATCTATCTTATTAATGTAGTTTTTTTGCTGAATCATGCATTGTGAGTAAGTTTGTTAATTTCAATATATCAAAATAATCCTGACTCAAATCTCGTCCTGGCAAAGCGGGATAAAATCAACCCTTATTCTGCAAATTGTGCATGATCCTTTTGGGAGTGAGGGCGGTGAGGCAGCACTTTCCTTGCGATAGTAACTTCTAGTTATAGATGCATTAATTAAGTAAATATTCAAAATTAGCCACTCCCAAGCTGCTCCCAAGTCCCAACTGCCCAACATAAAATAAATTCCTTGATTCTCATCACCGCCCGACTGAATTTTAAAATCCTCGTGAAAACGTTTTATTTTTCGTTATACAATATATAAATGTACCGCCCGACAAAATAATTCAAGACAGTTAATTTTTTCATATTTTATATAGAGTTTTTATTGCCATTTTAAACTTCCAATTTGAAACAAACAGAATTTTGAGTGAAATTTCATTGTATTTTAAAGAAACTCCGTCATTCTGTCATTGTTCGTGGAGATACGAACTATTGATATATAAATTATATAAATATAAAATATAAATAATAAATCTCCCACTGTCTTCGACATTTCAAAGTGTAGACTGTGTCTAGTGATGAAAATCAAGGAATTTATTTTATATGTTAATATAAACCAAGCCCGTTTAACCGTTTAGCTGCCTTAAAACGGTGGTTTAATAAGCTCAAAATACAAAGCATGCAAGTCTACACTATAGATTCATCATCAGTCAACAACCAAACTGAAAGTATATTGAACCTTATAGAACGATAGTTTTTATTTGTTTACAACTATACATATTCAACGGGTATATAAGAGTTTAACTGTTATTTGATAATTACTGCATCAACCGGCCTGGCGGCCCCTTAAATTGTTTATACTTTGGAGGTTCGTATATAATATCTATCAAGTATCTTTGGTTCAGAACATGACTGATAGGCTTATATGGAAATCCCACTGTTCGATTCAGTGCAGAAATATCTCCTATTTTCTATCGATAGTTTTAGTAAAATGTCAACATTATTGCGATTTATGCAATTTAAATATGCATGGCCTTTGAAAGTCAAGCGAGATAGTATATTATCAAATTAATACGCATGTAATTGTCTGAACGAAAATATAGACTAGCCCATACCTTTCGCCGATCATAACTTCGGCCCCTTCGGACGTATCTTCTTTGTTAAATATTCTTGTTCGAATCTCTATCAATAACACTATTTAGAGTGTTATTTTTCAGCTTGTATCTTTTAATTTGCTTCTTTTATTATGTTATTCCATTTCTGGTCTGACTTGACGTGAACTAATTTCAAAACGCAGAGTTTGAAAACGTCAAAACATTTGGTTAATGATTAACATTTAACCGAATTTAGCCGTTGATTGACAACTACATAAAAATACTAACGAATCCGTTTTTCCCATTCACCAGCGGACGGGTAATTCAAAAACCCCTAGTTTTTCGGCAGACGGTATTTCCTTTGCTTCCCTAATTTTCGCTGCCCGTAGAAATACCGCCTGCCATGCAGGCTAAATTAGACAATACACTTAATTAACAAAATAGCCAAAGGCTATTAGTCGTTGTGTAACGGCAAAATGCTTTTATTAAGGTCATTATATACGTTAACGTTCATATAAAAATATTAGCTGAAGTGCTTTTAGAAGACAACATTGATGTGAATAATATATAAAATTTTTGGAATAAAGTTTGGTCCATTACAAGCGAGCAAAAAATTTCCTTATTCACACTAGTAAACTTTTCACATAAAATTATTTGAAGCGCAACAATATTTTCAAACGCCTGGTGTTTCACGAATGCAGATGTCACTTGCGAGCCTCATTTTCATGTTGAAGTTTATCGCATTCATAACAATTTTTTAGACATTGACATCAAGGTGGCCACAGTTTTGAAGATAATGGACTAAATTTGCGATTTAGGGAAAATACATTTATTATGCCGAGGGGGGGATGAAGATGTTAAGGGGGGGCTCCGAAATATTTTCTGGCATTAAAGGGGGGCTCTGAAAGTTCTTGATATACTGAAGGGGGGGGGGCTCTAAACTTTTCAAAGGTTTGACCCCAGCAAATTAAAGTTAAAATTTTTACATCAGTTTCAGGTAAAATTTGCGTAATAAAGTAATTATTTTTGTGAAATGATAACCATTTTTGTAAAATACAGTCAATTTACATGCAATTTGTTTGCGAAATTTGCTTTAGAAAACGCCAGAAATTCAGTCCTAGAGCTTCGAAAATGTAAAAATTTTCTGGGGGAGGACCCCCAGACCCCCCTTTTCTCCCAAAACTTAGTATAAGCGAGTGCCAATCAATCACAAAAAGCTTTATTATAATTATTACACGTATAATCCTCTGACATCAACGCCCCCCCCCCAAATGTCAGATGCTTTGCTACGTCCCTGATGGTTGTATTCGAAACCGATTTCAGTTTTAAGATATCCTTAGACTGCTCTTCTAAATGGATACATGAAATCACCTATAGCTTATTTTAATTTTTTTTGCGCCAGGTTTGTGAAGTAATTTATGCGCCAAAAAGCAAAAAAGCATATACAATTTGCAAGAATGACATGTTTATGGGATATTTCGTACAAACGGGATGGAAATTAAAGAAATTGAAGCATACTGGCACTTTTGCATGCATTTTTGTTTGACAGGCATGCAAAGACATTTGCAACAGATGCCGGGAGATACGTTGGGTGGGGGCAACATACTATAAGGTTCCAGCACATTACCCTGATCCAGGAAATTCTGGCCACTATACATGAACGTGTTCAAGACTCCGAATACGCTGAATGATGGACAACAACAACCTGTTGATAATTCCACCCCTAGAGCCAATTTAAAATGTTTTAAAGACGGTGCCATTTCATCTGGCGCTAGTGAGATGAAAGAAGCAGCAGATCGGTAGTTTTGTTGAGGAGAAGCACTTGAGTATATCAGACATCTTGAGAAACTGCAAATTGTATCTATGATAAGAGAAAATTCCGGATTGTACTCCTTCGATTCCGAATTCTAGAAGTGGGGGGGCATTAAAAATTTTAAAAACTTGGAGGGGGGGGCATCGAAATTTACCGATAACCTCAACAGGGGCCCTGTAAAAATATGAGCTTTTTTCAAGACATCTTCATCCCCCTCCCTCGGTGTAATAAATGTACTTTCCCTTAGATCTGTAGTTTTTGAAAAGCAAAAAATATCACTTTCTGTATGCAAAAAATATCACTTTCTGTATGCAAAAAATATCACTTTGTTATATAAGAGAGAACGCAGACTCAGGGAAGCATTGTTTGTGACCGTCGTCTGCAAAATCTAACTGAGTGGCCAATTTTAAGACGTTAATGACTTGCGGCAATTATCGCTTTAATAATGAAACTGTTTGTCAAAGTTTCGCCTGTTCACGGGCAGAAGGGGTACGTAGTCTTTTGGAAAAAATTTAGGGCAAACCTAAAATTTTAAACACCAATAGCAGTCTTTTCTGCCGGCTGACAGTTTTGGCAAATATGAAAACAAAAACGTGTGCATAATTACAATACACGCACATTAGTCGAAACAGTTTTTTATTCTAATTGTGCATGCATGCAAACTTTTATCCGAATAACGTAACTGCGTAGTTAAGATAAATCGTTGTATTCAATCCATGCCGGCCGGATACTGCTCAAAAATTTTAATTATTATAAAGGTCGTTTTTATTGCTTCCATGCATGACAGGAAAGGAGCTATAGGCGAGAGTATAGGTTTAAGGAAACTAGAAAATACGCTAGCATATTATAATTAGACAATGCACTCAATTAACAAAATAGCGTAAGGCTCTTAGTCGTTGTATAGTGACAACATTCTTGATAGGTCATTACGTTCATATAAAAATATGAGCTGAAGTGTTTTTAAAAGGGAACATTGTTTTTGATGTGAATAGTATATAAAATTTTTTGGAATAAAGTTTGGTCCCATTACAGGCGAGAAAAAGTTTCCTTATTCACAGTAAAATTTTCACATCAAATTATTTGATGCGCAATAATATTTTTAAACGCCTGGCCTTCGTGAGTGCAGAGGTTCATTTTGCGCAAGTTTATCGCATTCATAATAACTTTTTGGACATTGACATTAAGGTGGTTCAACACAATTTTTTGAGAAAAATGGAAAACTTGCGATTTATATCTGTGTTTTTTTTTTAACTACAAAAAGTAATATCTTACTGATGTAAAAAACCCCGTCTAAATGCAGGTTTGAATTTTTTCACAAAAATTAAACAACTCTCGTTGCTATGGCAGCAATGACGTTTCAAGAAGGCGGTTATTTTCACCTTTATTAAAGTAATTTAACTAAAAAATGAAGAACATTTACTTGTGTTAAAACTAGTATGTAATATGTATAATTCGAATATGCTATGAATACCAGAAAAAAAAATACTAAAATCTGCCGCAATTCCACAAGTCAACTTGCACACAGGACGAAATCAGTAGCTATCATCATGGTTAAAGGTGGCGTAAAGCGATGTTATTGGCGGCTTTATTCACATTTAATCAGTTTGATTAAATTTAGTAAATGTACCTAAACTCTCCTTTCAGCAAGCAGATTAAAGATTTTTCTGGAGGCTTTAAATGTCCAAATTATAGTATAATTATAGATGATTAAAGACGACCTATTAAAGAATGAGAAAAGTTTGTTTAAAGGGAATTAAAGGTTTCTAACTTGTCTTTAACTGCGAAGAGAAATGAGTTGTAAAGGTACCTTGAAGCTACATATACAAAGCTTTTCTGCTCTGGTATTTTACATCTTTAATCACATTTAATGTGGTGTTGAAATTGTAAAAAGGTGCATGTGTTTACTCAACTTTAAGCAAAGGTGTTTTGAATCTTTATTTTACCTTTAATCACATTTAATATGTGTTGAAATTGTGAAAAGGTACCTGTACATGCCTTTACTCAACTTTATGAAAAGGTGTTTTGTATCTTTATTTAACCTTTAATCACATTTAATGTGGTGTTGAAACTGTGAAAAGGTACATGTCTTTACTCAACTTTGAGCAAAGGTGTTTTGTATGTTTATTTAACCTTAAAACACATTTAATGTCGTACGAAAAGAACAGAAAAGAAACGTATATTGTCTATTTGACGTTTCCATTTGCCATTTAAATACCTATAGTATTGTTTAACCATTAATGGTTAAACATTAATGGTTAAACAAACTATTCAAAATCGCAAATGCAAATGTCAAATAATAATAGTTACAGTTAAGCCATGTTTTAGATATTTTCGTTAATAAATTGTACGTGCAGGTAAGATGATCAATAAAACAAAAGTAATGCCATTCATAGATCTCTCTGGCGTTTCCCAGATTTGAACGTAATAGCAAACAAGCTGCTCCAGTGGCGAGTTTAATAGCAAAGCAGGAAGTAATGTCTCCAAAGACAAAAAAAAAGATTTCAGCACACATAATTTTTTCTTCAATTTTATATTTACCATATAAATAACATAAAAATCTGCCATGCAGAATAAATGCATATCGTATAAACAGTGTAAATTACGCAAACTCATAAATTTGATTATCAAATTAACACGTGCAGAATGAAAACCCACGAATAAAAACCTTTCAGTCTAACATTTCTATTTAGAATTTTGTATGAACCTGTTTAAGAAGCCATGCAGGTTCACAACAAATATATAAAGCACTCTTAATACATTAGAACATGGAAAACTTTGGGTGATATATCGTGGGTCTTTACTATACTGAAAAACTATAGCAATCAGAGTCATGATCATTTAAAATGTCATTAACAGAGTCATTCAGCGAAGAGCCACTAGGGATAATGACTGGGCACTCTCATCAACAACATTATCATCCTCGTTCTTAGCTGCCCACTCCGGGAAGTCGAATGGAGGGCTGTCCATCCTCGCGAGGAACAATTCTGCTCCGTACCAGTTCTGACAAAGACAAGGTGGAGCCTGTCTAACTTTTTCTTTGCCCTTCGTATAGAGATGGACTCTCCCAGGGTAGCCTACGAACGTTGTAACGCATGATCCTTTTTGTTGTTTCGTCGACCTCGCTTTCTTCTGATGACATGTACAGTAGCCTGCCCTCATAACATCGAACACTCTTGCAGTGTTCTGGGCACCCCAATTTGCCTTTTCCACGTGCTTCAGCCTGCGTGCAAGTCTCTAAAGAAAGATACAAAATAATAACAAATAAGCTTGACACTACTACAAGTTCTTAGCAAACTTATAGTACAAATGTTGACTATTGAGTTTACACAGTACAATTTTGTATCAAATGTTGATTTGATGATTGGATGACATTGCCTGGATGACTTTTCCTTCCACCGTATGCGCGTTGTTCAGACTCTGAAAGTTCTTTAAATTCTTCTTCATAATCATTTTACACACGATTTCCCTTTTCGTCGCAGGCGACATACAGTAGGTAATTTTTTTTTTTTGGGGGGGGGGTGTTAGGTAGACTGCTTATGCATGCCACAACTTTGCTTAGCAAGAAATCCGACTTTGGAAGCCTTACAGATTCATCCACGAGGTTATCGAGGCATTACAAGCAATGAGCATAAAAATGTCATTTACTGCATGTATTTAAATTTATACATTGCTCGGGGAGACAAAGCAAAAGGTAACTTTCAAATAGAGTGTCACAAATGTCACAAACACCCAAAGACGGATGTTTTAGATTGAGCAACCCCCTTGAAATACAAAGCTAAATTAATGCCTATCAAAATTAAATGCAGTGTTATAAGTTCAAACCTCGAATCTTAAAAAATTGGTTATACTGTGTAAATTAATGCTAAAGCTGTTAACAGATCTTCAAAGTCTTTAATCCCTTGCTGTGTGTTAATGTTGGTGGAAAATTTAAACACGCAAAATAATTTGTTCTGGATGTTCACGAGAACTTGTACCAAATCATATGTAAAAACCGCGTAAACATTTTAAAGACCATGATGTTTGTCTTGTTACTCTGAGTGTATATCCACACCAAGCAAGCTTCAAAAAAATATGCTGACCACGGTGGGAATCGAACCTATGACCCTTGGAATACTAGCCCAATGCTCTGCCAACTGAGCTACGCAGTCAGGTCGGTTCGAGTAACTCTACAGTATGTGATTTTCGGAAATGAGCCTAGTTACTTCGATAACAATGCAATCTAATAATCATGATTTTTTCTGTGTTGGTGTAATGTATTCAGGTGAATATGATGCTTGTGATGTCACTCTGCATGTATATCCACTGAATCCACACCGGGTAAGCTTGAAAAATATACCCGGCCTCGGTTGGAATCGAACCTAGATGATCCTTGGAATACTAGCCCAATGCTCTGCCAACTGAGCTACGCAGTCAAGTTGGTTCGAGTATGTGATATTTCAGAACTGAATCTAGTTCTTTCGATATCAATGCAATCTAGTCATCATGATAGCTCAGTTGGCAAAGCATTGGGCATTCCAAGGTCGTAGCTTTGATTCTCATCCTGACCAGGTCTATTTTTCAAACTTCCCCGGTGTGGTTATACACTCAGAGTATCATTGCACAAACATCATATTCACCTGAGTACATAACACCAACACAGAAAAAATCATTTTAAGGACCATTCTTTAAATACAGTGCACATGCAAAGGTTGTCACATGCAATAGTCAATTCTACAATCCAAAACGCAAATATTTTTGACAAAATGCAAGCAAATGCAGATAATATTGCTGGCATGTGACATTTGACTACTGCAATACAGCTGTTATGAACAGAGTAATTATTAACATTTTAATATATCGTTACATTATCAGACAGAGACATTATGCTATAATTAGCTATAAATAGGTTCACTGTATTAACTGTCAATCATGTACGTAATTGCTTTGTTATTGTAATTTTGTATTGTCTTCGAGTAAAATATATTGTTTTGATTGTTGTTTACGAAGGAGTTCAAGCGAATTACGAGCGATTTATAAGCGATTTACGAGCGAATTACGAGTGATTTATATGCGATTTACGATAATTATTACATGGCGCCCAACGTGGGGCAACTTGAAAACATAACAAGTTGAATCCAAGCGAAAGTATGACCGAATCGAAAGAGAATTTAGACCGATTAAGAGCGAAGCGAGGCGGACATCGTGGTGTCTGTACTAAATTAGCGAAAGAAGCGGACGAACTCCTACATTTACCCGGCGATGTTGATGTCGATCGATGCGAAATTATCCGATCTTTACTCGAAGAGAAATTAAAAATTCTAAGCGAAATTGACGAAGAGATTTTAGGATTATGCGATGTAAAAGATATCGAACAAGAAATCGAAGAATCGGCGGAAGTTGTCTCTAGAATATTAACCGCTAAAAGGAAACTCGAAAACGCTTTAAAGCCTGGAATTTCGAAAGTGATCAACGAAAAGAATAACGTCCAACCGAGTCATTTATCACCGAATCAAGAACTAGACTATGGGAATGATAATTCAACGAACAGTACGATTATTGACAGTGGCGAACAATCAAATAGTGCGAGTCAAAGCGAAGTAAATACGAACACGTCTCAACCGACAGCGACAACAAGTACAACAACGAATGTTATTAAACCGAAATTACCGAAGCTGACCTTGCCGAAATTTAAAGGTGACGTAACAAAATGGAATACGTTTTGGGACTCTTACGAATCTACGATACATAAAAACGCGCTATTCAAGGGCTTAATCTTACGAACGCGAATTATGACGCCGCTGTAGAAATTCTCCAGGACCGTTTTGGAAGGCCACAACAAGTCATTGCGGCCCATATGGATGAAATACTTAAAGTACAAGCTTGCACAGGAGAGAAACTATCTTCCTTAAGATACGTCTATGACAAAATTAGCGTGCATGTACGTGGTCTAGCTTCATTGGGCGTTTCCTCGGAACAATATGGCAGCCTATTGATACCGATTATAATGTCAAAGTTGCCAAGCGATATTCGCCTGCAGATCGCACGAAAGGCCACCAAAGAAGCTTGGAAGATCGATGAATTACTTACTACGATAAAACTTGAAATCGAAGCAAGAGAAATGAGCGAAAGCACTAAGTCGAGTGGAAATAATCAACAAGGCTCTAAATACCAAGATTACAACTCTAAGAACAACGGGAACAAGCCTACTGCTGCTGCTATGTTTGTGAACAATGGTCAGCTGCCCGACAATTCCAAAATCCAATGCGTTTACTGTAGTGGTCGCCATTATTCAGCATCATGCGAAAAGATTGTTCCTTGTGAAGCTCGAAAGAAAGTTCTTAGTGAATCAGGACGTTGTTTCAATTGTTTATGGAAAGGACACAACGCGAAAGACTGTAACAATGCAAGAAAGTGCCGCCACTGCCAGGGCAGGCACCACCAATCGATATGTTCACGAAATCAGAAAGTCGAAAGCGCGAAGTCAACCGAACAGCCGAAAAATGAGGAATCTACAACAACAGCCACAAAAATCTGTAAGGGTACTGTTTTACTTCAAACAGCTAGAGCAAAGGCAACGAACGGTGTAAGATCAGTTCCCGTACGCGTATTATTTGACACAGGGAGCCAACGCTCTTATATTACGAATTCAACTCAAGCGAAATTAAAGTTGGAACCACTTAGAAAGGAAACACTGTATTTGAACACATTTGGGGACAATAAATGCAAGCGCCAAAACTGTGAAATCTACAAATTCAATATCGAGAACCAAAACGGAAGTGAAGAGGTAGAAGTTACAGCAATTAATTTCCCTATAATATGTTCTCCACTGAACTCGAAAGTCAACACGAATTACGTACATCTGGAAGGGCTGGAACTTGCAGACTTTGGCGGCGACGATAATGAAAGTAACAGCATCGATATCCTAATTGGCGCAGACCATTATTGGGACATTGTCACAGGTGATGTTGTAAAAGGTGAAAGTGGTCCTACAGCGGTCAGCAGCAAGCTTGGATGGTTGTTATCCGGTCGAGTACCAAAATCTGCTGAACACGAAGATCCGACTGTTTCAAATCTGATCCTAACTGGTGAATCATTGGACACATCAAGATACTTCACCGCGTCAACGAACGAGGACAAGATTGTCAATTCACTAAAGCGTTTTTGGGAAACAGAGTCCACAGGAATAGACAATTATAAAGCTGAACCAAACGATGATGTCAACTTCATTCGTGATATTCGATTTACAGGAGAACGGTACGAAGTTCGCCTACCTTGGGAAGAGGACAATCCTGAGGTCGGAGTCGACTACGAACTTTGTTACAATCGGTTACGGTCGTTGAATCAGAAGTTAACAAGACAACCTGAGCCTCTTCGAGAATATGACAAAGGAATTCAGGAACAATTAATATCGGGAGTAATCGAGCGAGTGCCTTATCAAAGCGACGACAACAAAGAGAACGAAAACAACGTGCATTATCTTCCACATCACGGTGTAGTAAGGAAAGACAAATCGACTACAAAGTTGCGAGTGGTCTATAATGGATCAGCTACCACTGGACCAGGTGGGGTGGACCAGAGTATCTTTACAAGCCTCAGTGCAAGTGGCCGAAGGATCCAGCAGCGAGCGCCCTGGATGACACAGCTTTGAACGAAACCGTTAAGAAACCGCAGACTGTTATTCATTCACTCGTCAGTACGAAAGAAGAAGAATCAGCTGAATTGAATCTGAACGACATCATAAATTGTGACCGTTTCAGCAGCTTCGCTAAGCTGTTGCGTGTAACAGCGTACGTGTTAAGGTTTGTCAACGAACTTAAAGTTAAACGAACTGCTAGGAACACGGAGAATATGCAAGGAGAATATGTAGTGGGTGAATTGCGAAGACTGGAACAGATGAAAGAGTTTCAAAGGAAGACATAAACATTATCCGTTAATTAATTATTTGAGAAACCGATTATGCGAACAGTTAGACAGACTGTAGTTCGTGAAACTTTCATATTTCTAGTTACGATTATTCTGGGGAGTATTGTTGAGCACTGTGTACGGCTCAACCCTGGGGAGTGTTATGAACAGAGTAATTATTAACATTTTAATATATCGTTACATTATCAGACAGAGACATTATGCTATAATTAGCTATAAATAGGTTCACTGTATTAACTGTCAATCATGTACGTAATTGCTTTGTTATTGTAATTTTGTATTGTCTTCGAGTAAAATATATTGTTTTGATTGTTGTTTACGAAGGAGTTCAAGCGAATTACGAGCGATTTATAAGCGATTTACGAGCGAATTACGAGTGATTTATATGCGATTTACGATAATTATTACAACAGCATTGCTTGTGACAACATCATAAGAATTAGCTGCATATTATACTCTTTCTATACTATGCTCAAAAGTCTTTAATTAAATCAAATTTTGAGACATGTGCTATGTACAAGTACAGTACAATTGTCTAGCTTTAGTCATATATAGGACGATTCTCTGGTGTGAGCAAAACTAAAGTGATACCACTCTATAGACGTTGCTGTGTTGGGAGTTTTGTGACCCCCAACATATATCGCCTGGTAATTAATATTGAAAAATTGACAGAGTAAAGTATGGTAAAGTGATTACCAGAATCCAGATACCACAGGAGTTACCGGTATAAGGTTTTAAAATATATCTATTGGGCCAAAAAAAATATGTGGGTTTCCGGTTTCCCGACCCTACCTACCTTTTGGACGTCGAAATCCCGACCCTAAACCTTTTTACTGGATCATGCTTGTAAGTGTTTCCACTTAGAGGAAAAAGTTCGTGGAAAATTGAAATTTGAGGCAATATTAGGGAAATTTATCTAATTTGGATGTGAAAGCACTGACTAAACAAAATGGCGTTCATTTGTTTGGAAAATTTAAAAAAAAGTTTAAAAAAAATTAAAACCGACCTACCCTACCTAAGTTTTTATGAGAAGAAACCGGAAACCCACATATTTTTTTTGGCCTTGGGCAAGACAATTACAAATACCATAAATACTGTGTACACCATACCTTTTATTAAAACAGTTGTGGCCCTCCATACTCATGAGCCAGTTCCTTGGAAACCTTGGAACACAGCATGATGTTGTGTTGAGAGTCAACACTAAAATTAAAACAGAATATTTAGTATAGCTGTATAAGATGACTCATGTTTCATAAGTGTACGCCTGCAACAGCGGCGTAGCTAGAACCGATAATTGGAGGGGTGGGGGGTTGTATATTCATATATTTATGTTCATGTAGTGTAACAACATTAACAATTACTTTCAAAAGAAATCCCTCAGGAGAACACGAATATATGAATATACACCCCCAATGATCAGTCTAGCTACGGGCCTAGCTGGCCTGCAAATACAAGTTAACTTGATATTTTCTGTGTTGGTGCAATGTACTCAGGTGAATAAGATGCTTGTGATGTTACTCTGAGTGTATATCCACACCGGGCAAGCTTGAAAATATGCCTGACCACAGTGGGAATCGAACCTATGACCTTTGGAATGCTAGCCCAATGCTCTGCCAACTGAGCTACGCGGTTGTACTTGTTGGCTTGCACCAACACATAAAATATCATTATTACTAGATTACATTGATATTGAAGGAACTAGATTCTGTTCCGAAATATCGCATACTCGAACCGACCAGACCGCGTAGCTCAGTTGGCAGAGCATTGGGCTAGCATTCCAAAAGTCGTAGGTTCGATTCCCACTGTGGTCAGCCATATTTTTCAAGCTTGCCCGGTGTGGATATACACTCAGAGTAACATCACAAGCAACAAGTTAACTTGTATGAATGTGGTCATTGTGGTGTTTCATAAATATAATGTTAGTACACAAAGTTACCTTTCATCAAACGTATGCTAGATTACTCTCATAAGCATTCAATGCTTTCAGTTTACGACGAACATATAATCCTATAAAAAATGAGATATATGTTAAAGGCACAATCCCTCCTGGTGCACTTACTATGCTATTTTACACTGTACACAGCTTTAATAGTGCCTCAAGAAATTTAACACAAAAAGTAAATTCACATTTCGCAAGCAAGAAAGAGAAGCCAGGGTACCCGAGCTGGCCTGGTTTTGGAGAGACACCACATTTGGTATTATTTCTTGTCAATTGTCCAATTTAATCTTGCGATAACATGAGAACTGAACTGACCTGCCCAACTGCAATGGCCTACCTCAACTGTAGTAGGCTGTGGCCAGTCTGGGTGCCTTGTTACTTGCTTGGATACCCGGGCTAGTCTGCCTCCATATATGAAATACAGCACTAGGTATACTATGGTACAATAGACACTTAATCCTTGCCTTGTTAACCTAGGCTGTGAAGAGCTTTGTGATTGTGATATGCACTTTGGAATAATGCACGAAGCAATGTTTTGTCCGCCTGGGGAAGGATGGCATACACAGGAATTGACTTGAGTTCTCGCAACTTGAAATTTCTTAATAGGGGAAAATTTGACAAAGATTGACTAAAAAGTGGTGCTCTGCAGTGGAGCTTATTGTCATACATACAGTAGCAAAATTGAAACTGTCAAATTCCCCTAGGTATGCCTGTCCTCCCTGAGTCAGGCATAACACAATGGTCAAGGGTTCTATAATATATATACAGTAAATGGGGTATATACTGTAGTATTTTTAGCAGTGATTTGCATGTAATAAATTATTAAACAGCACTATGACTAAGTTCAGCAATCTTGAATTAGCCTTTGAATATTTGGCGCAATTATTTTAGGAGCCTAAACTTTCATTAAATCAGAGCGTTCTATACCATTGAAATGACATGTATACACAATTTATCAGATATAAGTACAAATGCTTACCCTGCAT